GATTTAATATTATGCTCCATTTTATATATATTTATATGGTAAATAAATTACGCCTCCCTAAGTAAAATTAAATGTGTGTACGATATATACAAAGCTTACAAAATTTTTTAGAGTTGAGAATAATTTTTTATATACGGATAAAATACTAAAATAATTCAAATGAAAAAAAATAAAATGAAAAAAAAATAATGAAATTTGAGTTTACAATTTCACAATTTCACAATTTCACATTTCCCCTGTTTTCGATTCTTAAAAACGATTTTATAAAAAGATACACACAAAAAAAACAAGTAATGATCATTTGTGATGATCTACACAGAACGGCAATATTTACTCATTGTTGCTATTATTAGATCTCCAAAACTTTATAATGAATTGATTCTCTCTACCAGATAATCTTGTTAAAATGACCTAAAGAAAATATGTATAAGTTATATATGATATATATTATATATATAATTTTACACTACTAACTTCTGAATTGAATTGATATTTTTCAAACATAATTTCGCAAATTTCTTCAGGTTTATTTTGTTTAATTACTAATAAATAAAATATTCCTTTAATGGAAAGTAGATCCTAAACATAAAATATATAAATAATTTAATAAATTACAATAATAAATAAATTGTATTTGTGATTCATAAAAATTGTTTGTATTTACATCAACTAATATCAACATCTGATCAATTACTTCTCTTCCATTAATTCCGCCAGCCCAAGATTTGTCAAGAATATTATTATTATTTGAATTTAATTCTTCAGAATCAGTAACAACATACGGCGGATTAAAACATAATAAATCAATTGAGTGTTTAAGTCTTGGTAAAAGTCCTGATGTTAAGTTTGTTGTGATTGCATCTAATTGTATCTAAATTGTAAAATACGTGGGTGGATGGATGGATGGATGAGATTGATAAATAAAAGAATGAATAGTGAATTTGTAAGCGAGTGATCAATAAATTAGTGGAATAACTACAAGATTTTGGTGTCCAGTTTTAACCGTTATTGAAGTTGCATATGGGTTGATGTCTGTGCATAATAACAAAGATGTATTTTTATCAATTAACATTCCTAGAAATGTAGAAATACATCCTGAACCTGATCTTTATAAATCATGTTATATTTAATATATTTTAAATATTTTAAATAATTCTACTAGTGAGTGATAAAAATTCGCTAACCCAATTTCCAAACAAATGCAAGGTTTTAAAATACTTCTTAAGAAATTTTGTTCATTTTCTAATGCATCAAGGAATAAAAAGGTATCCTCTTTGAAGTATGTATATACACAAAATTTTAGTTACTATTTTTCCCTTATATGATATAGATTCGATTCTTTATAAATCTTATTATTAAGTAAAATATTGACCTGCTGGTTCATATACATAATTATAATCATTGCTTGTTATATGATCTAGATTTGGTGTTGGTATCATCTTCATTAATTATTGTTTGGAGAAGCAATTATAGAATTTGGGGGTACGCAGATCAATCATGGGAATAGGGGGATCGAGTTTTTTTTGCATATGTTTGCAGACTTTGATATTTGCAGGGATCGTTACTCAAAAAAAAAATTTATTATGTTCCTAACCATATTTTGCCATACATAAATGAATTTATGTCATTTTTAATGAATTTTTATTTAAATAAAATTTATCACCATTTCCACCCCTGATGATCCCTTAATCTTTTCCTTAATAAATTTGACCCCATTCCATTTAAATCTTTTTTTAATTAAAATAATTAAAATGTTATATTACTTACCTTTTATATATATAATTTTTTAATATTCCAAAAAAAGAAAAGGTTTCTTTGTATAATATTACCTCCTTAAATGAATACATTAATATTTGTGTTATATCAAAAAAAAATAGAGTTTGTGCAATGAATTCATTGAACATTTTAAAAAAAAGTGGGTGAATAACTACTGATAATCAATGTTTGTGTGACCGAATTGAATGAATTTTCTCGCATTCTTAAATTAATTGTTGCTCATATTTTGAAGAAAAGAAGTTGTATATGGAATTTGGTGAAGAGGCTGAAATTGTAAAAGATGACGGAGAAAAATCTAAAGGATCCATTTGTTGAGTTAATGTCTCTGAAGTTTCTGATGATGAATCTATTGCATCTAACTATACCATGCACTTATTGAAAATACAATGACCTCGAAAAGAACAAAACTTGATCCACTTTTATTTGAAAAGATTGTTTTATTTGAAAAAAAAAAAATTATCAATAACTTTGATAGAATGTAAAATTAAAATGTTTTATTATAATGAATATAATCATTCAAATAATTAATTTAAGATCAAATGAAAATCTGAATATTTCAAGTGATTATCTGAATATTGAACTTATTAATTGAATGAATACAAAATGAATGAATATTCAGTGGTATGATCTCTACTAAAAAAAGAGTCAATACAAAAGAAAATCAAAGTCCGGCAGAATAGAAACACAAACAAGGTGATGGGTGGGCAATGTTAGAAACCATTGGTTCAAGTCTAGTTTAAAATTTATGCAAGATTTAATTTCCTGATTTGTTTATTTGCTTAGGATGGAGAATGATAATGATAAGAGAGGAAGATGATGGTGAAGAAACCAAAGAAGAAATGAATGTTTGATAAAAATGTTCAATACAAATTATCAGAAACTTGAAGTTCAGAGAAAATGATAAATTTATTTATCAATACACAAATGTCAAATTTTATATCATTCCCTCTTTTGAAAAAGGTTAATGATGACCTTATGGCATGAAAGATATGATACAATGGAGAAAATTCATGGTGGCATGGTGAGCTCTGAATTTATCGAAATTGAATTCTGGCTCTTTGAAATAAAATCTGTCTAGAGTCTGTCAAAGTCTCTACTATGTTCAGCATGTGATCTTTATCTTCCTCTCAAACCAGGCTGACTGTTTCCATATGGGCATTGATCACTGATGAGGATCAGCTTTCTCGATTACGAGTAACAGTAACTTGAGCATTTTGTGTGATGATTGCTGTTATCCCGACCTGTAGAGGTTTTGAAAATTCGCCAACTCATGAGGTTGAAAACTGGGTTGTTGTTTGAATTTTCCCTGAATTCAGAGTTTTGAGTCTTGGGTTGCTGTCATGTTGGTGACATGCCTACACACCAATAACCCTCTATAAATAACAAATTCAGTTGATTAAATAATAATTAAAGAAACAGAAAATTTATGAAAATGATTAATTTACACATAACATACCAAACAAATTCTGAACCATTTTATTTTACAGCTTTCCTCCCTGTGCTTGAAACGAGTTGCAGATTCTTGTTGCTTTGATGGATCTGGATGTTTATGCAACCAACTCCAATACTTGAAAACAAAATGCCAACTGCCAAGTCTAGACTTTCTATTTTTGTACATAAAGATTCTACTCAAACAAAACTAAGCAACAACAACAACAACAATAATAGTAGCATAAGTAGTAATAATGGTATTAATGGCATCAAATCATCAGAAAGAAGTGAAAGGTTAATTGATATTTCCTTGTCGTCATCATTACCATCGACAATCAATGAAATAAGCGGTTCCGATCCTCAATTACTAGATAATTATAATTTAACATTATCGCCTACTTTAACAGGTTCAAGTAGACCGGTTTCGAGTGTTTCTTCGGCTACAAATGTAGACAACGAATATGATGCTTTATCGGACTCGTCTCATTCCTTGTCATCTTCATTTTCGGCTTCCATACTTACAAGTCATCGTGATAGTCTGTGTGACACTGCATCAAGCCTAAGTGCATCACCTTGTCAAAGTGAATTTAACTATAAAAATCATAAAAGGAAATCACTCGATTTCCACAATCCTTCACAACAACACATCAACAATAATACCAATCTTCCCGATCATCATCATCGATTTTCAGTACCAACAGTGACCAACGAATCTGTATCAAACAATCCCACAAATCGATATTATCCCACGTCACGTCGTGCATCTATGCCTATTATTCATAACAACGATTCTAGCACTAGTGCATCATCCAATAATATTACAACGACAACAGCAGCAACAGCAGCAACAGCAACAGCAACAGCAACTACCACTGCCATTACCACTACCACTGCCACTACCACCACCACTACTACAATGACATCTAATCATTTGAATCAGGATCTCATCGACACCAGTCCTAAAAGAGTCTCAACTTTATCAAAATTTCAATTCAACGAAAAAATATCTCGCGCCTCGATCAGAATGAGTATTAATGATATTATGCAAAAAAGATTGCATATTGCATTGGAAATTTTAACTACTGAACGCCATTACGTTGAATGTTTGTTACTTGTTCAAAAGGTATATATAGAAAATAAGCCCATCTATCTAATTTTCATGATAATTGATTAATATAACAAATCAACATGTTCTAATTTTCTTTTTGAACACATGCACAGTTATTCCTTAATCCACTACTTAAATCTCTTTCTACACTAAATCCAATTCTAAGTAAAAAAACAATAAACAAAATATTTGCAAATATGTTGGACTTGATAAGTGTAAATTCTGAATTGCTTAA